CATTGAGCTTGTGCTGTGCTTGCCACGGGTCAACTCTGGCAATTCCAGAGATTTTATTATCAGACAATTATTTATAACAGTCTAATTGGAATTGCGATGATGATAGCAGGCGGATTTAGTTAATTGCAAGTTTAATTCTTTGAAGGAAGAAACTGCTTAGTCAAAGTCGGACCTGCAAATTTGACTGCTTTAGGGCATATGCACATATTTAGCTGAATACAAGTAATAGATTGCGTCTTGTATTTGCTTGTCCCACATGAGGATTGGCTACAGTTCATCACAGGTTTAGTATATGGGCAAAGGAACAAACATCAAATGTCCCGATAAATTTTAAAGACCTTTTTTTTGAGAAAGAAAGAGTTCACTACAGAACAAACGCATGAACTTCAAGATCGTTCTGGTCCACTACTATGCACATTGAGTGAATAAATTAAGCTTAGCTAAGTGAGTTGGATTTGAAAAGCATACATATTGACAAGCAAATCACCAATAAAATGGTAGGGTCTTTTGAGGCTGCGCAAAACGAATACTTCATACGAAAGATAACTTTGCAAAATGTCATTATATTTCACTAAAATCTATGATGAAAGCGTCGGCATTAAGAGCCAAGAATAAAAAAACGAAAATAGCCATGCAGAAAATTTCATTGAGCATACAAATGGTGCGTACTATCTTTAAGCTTTAAGCTTTGCTACAAAATCAAAACATGAATTATAAAATAATAATTTTTGTATTATTTTTTTTTTTTTTACCCCAATTCAAAATTTCATGCACCACGTCCGGCTTAAAACCAACTTTTCGCACGTTTCAGAGCTACTACATATGTATTTGTCACGACAAAAATGGATGTTTTCTTACATTATTGCAAGCAACAAACTTGGAAAGACAGTATGCCCTTATAACACGACACAATATCGTCATAAAAAGGAAATCTAAAATGTAGCAAAAGAGAGACTACAACTAAAACCAATTTGAGCACCTGCGGTTGTGGCAAAAATAAAGCAAGTCTTCAGTCGTCATTATCAAAACAAATGCGGGTTCCAGAAAAGATCACAGGGCAGTAGCGATCAAGGGTATACAAGTACAAAGCGAAAGGGAATAGGAACGCGTTGAGGGGTAGAGAAATAGCTTGGCATTACATCTGTGAGCAGTGAGTAATCCAAGTCAGCATTTGTAAGCATGTAGGTTTATCTCAAGATAATCAAAGCCGCGTAGAAGTAGAGCAAAAGGCGTAAACACCGATTGCATACATGTCACGTACCGTTGCGCTTTGAGACAGAAAAAATACTGTAGATTAAAAAAGGTTTTTTTATAATTTTTTTTTTAAGCCATTCAAGCAAGCGCGAATGAGCTTGCATGGTTATTTCGTAATCAGTTAGGGAAGGATATCAAGTGCAACACCAACATATAGGAACGTGATGCTAATAAGTAAGACACATATGTACAATCGTACCTAAATATATGTATGTACATAATAATATGTAGAGCAAATTACAAGTGGCTGGGTGAGTAGTGTCAACTACGAGATCGCGCTGAGTGCGGCGCTTTTAATGGATAGACACTTATATACATATAATATATACATATTACCAGGCGTAATGAAAGTAAAAAAATGTAATTTTATATGAAAAATATGTTTAATAATGTTTTGGATTCTTTTAAATATTCAAATTTATTCAATTACTGTTATAAAACTTATCTATAACAATTTTCAAGGTCTGAAAATACTTATATGAAAAGAAAAAACAAATAATGGTGAACAAACGTTGCCTACATTTTGGCGATATGGCTAAAAGACCGAGATTTCGATGGCATAGAAGAGAGTCTGCTCCACAAAATAATAAATAAGTAATAAATAAAAACGTTTCCCGTATATGTTTTTTGTCGATATTACGGTTTAGTCAAATACTTTAGCTTAATCAGACGGTTTCGAGTTCAAGCCATATATTTACCATACTTCGCTTTGAAGTTTGTAGAATGTAATGAGTTTTCCATTACTTCCAATGAAATGGCTAACTTGAAAAAATTAGAATATATGTACGATTAAAGATAGAAAAAGGACCACAAATTTTCGTCACAAATGGGGTTTGATACCAAGTCTCGTGATTCTACGACGCACCAAGGCGCCATTATGATTAAAACAAATAAGAAAAAACGTTAACAGCTGTATAATAAGTGCTCGATCTAAACAATTTCTTCGGAAATTGCACTGTTACCTTGGCCAATAACGAATGCCAAATTTGATGAAGATACCTCGTCAAATAAAATAAATGTTTTCCATACATGTCTTGATTCCGATCGTTCAGTTTGCATGGCAGCTATATTACCATAGCCGATATCGGCAGTTCGGACAAATAAGCAGCTGCTTAGCGAGGAAAGGATGTGTGCAAAATTTCAGATCGATATCTCAAAACCTGAAGGACTAGTTCGCGTATATACAGACGGACGGACATAGCTAAATCAATTTAGCTCGTCATACTGAATATGTATGTACTTGCCACAATTCGTGGCAAACTTAATATACCCTGTTAAGGGTATAAATATTACAATAAACACTCTGGGAAAAACCACTTTGCTCTAATGCTTTCACAAACAATAATATGAATAAGCGGATACACAAAATAATTAAAAAAAAGAAAATATTAATTTATCAGCAAATTAGAAACTAAATAGCAGCGATATGCTTAATATGCTCGATTTCAGGTCACAAGCACTTGTATTTGCGATATGCTAATTAAAACAATGCACATCACGTACAATTATGCATACATACATGCACACATATGTACAAGCATGTATTTACGAGTGTTATGCGGGTATAGTATACAGCATTTTAATAAAGATATGAAGCGATATGAAATGAAAGTTACTTTGTTTTTGAACAATTTTTTCCAACACTTTGCTAGTGAAAATTCAATTGCTTCGCAAGTTGTCAGCGTAGAACAGCTAATACAACAAAAACAATAAACAGAAACAAAAACAAGCAGTCGACTTACTGACAATCGCGACAAAACTCGCACAACGCACAGCGCACCTGTGTAAGTATGCGCAAGTATGTTATCGTATGTTGCGCATGCGCATAGCGGCGCGTAATGAAAGTAGCTAGAAAAAAAAACACTACACAAATAGAGAAGTTAGTTAGTTTAGACTGTCTAAAGCCAAGCTCACACAATGTTGTGCTAACATAATGCCGTTCAATAGCTGTATAATGACAACAAAAACAACAGTTTTAGTGTTTTCGTTTGTAGTGCACAATGTATGTATGGTACACACTATCGTCTACTTTTTTGTTTTACTGCACCTCACCCACATACCAACGATTGCCGCTTTATGATGAATTCGGTGGTAAAAGTAAGCGATTAGGTCAAACAAATTCATTTTTGGTGCTGCAATGTGCATTTCAAGCGATTGGCATGAGCCCACAATAGCAAAAATAACACAATTTGTCAAATTTGTGATTTACAATGCATTTACCGTAAATTTTTGAAATGTTTGGATTTTATGATGGGCACTATGTAGCAAAAATTCACTGAGTTAGGGTAGGTCCAACGTTACATGTATGCAAATTTCTAAGGCAAATCACGCTTTGTTTGGCGTTCTTTGTGCAAGCTTTATGTTTGCCGAGTCTTTTGCAATAGCGGGAAAAATGTTGCCATTTTATTTTGGTTATCTATAGACCGTTGTAGAACGGTGCTTTGCTACGACTTCGGATTATTTTGTCTAATGTGTAAATGGAAACAACTTCTGCGAGCAAATGATGAATATTGTGACATGCTTTTTCTAAAATTCTTTTATTAACGCACGCTATCGACGAGGTTGAAGTCTCACTCTTTAATGACATTTTGTGTTTTCGAAGAACGACGAATTCACACCCATGATACTATAACTAAAAATGGCAATTTAATGCCAGATTTTTTCTAAAATCACTATTGTGGTGCAGAATAATGCAGAGTATGGCGGTATTGTCCTTGAAAACCATGTTATGGGCGAAGAAATGAAACAGGTTTTTGAACAAAACAAAACGAATAAAAGTTTCTACACAGGAAATTCCATAGATCCATATAGATAAATCTAGGATAATTATAGAAGCTCAAACCCAGAAAAATAAAAACGTAAAAAAAATAGTAGTGGAAAATAGAAAACATTACAAAAATGTGTCACTCAAAAGTGACGGCTAAAAAAGTTAACAAGAAAATAATCGCATTGGATTGTGAGGTTATTGTGCAAATATTATAGGAAAGAAGAAGATTTTTATTGTATTTTCTGTATATATATATTTCAATTCTAAACCTACTGACTTCCTACATTGTTCTGATAACAATAATGCACAAACATTGCTTCAAGTTCCCTAAACATAATATTGCAGCCTGTTCTATGACTCAATTGGGTCTTATCTGGATACCGTAGACTAGATCGTACGAAGATTATATTTTTAGGCCAGAAATATAACTCAAGAGGTAATTCGCTGACAGTACTACAAGTATAATAAAATACGTCTCCGCTAACAAATGAGTGATCGTCAAGTGCTCAACTGACCGAGTGATCGGTCACTAGACAAAATCAATTGTTCTAAGTGTAAGCGAATTTGATAAACTGTGGAGTTTCTTGTAATTTTTGCAAAAAATAGTCATTTTTAGTTAAGTTAGGACGAATTGTTTTTGGGTATTTATAAAACAAGAACAGAATGGAGGAAGGAACTTGTGGTAGTTAAGGTAACCAAACGACAACTTTTATAATTTTGTATGAGCTCAATTATTAAACTACCAATAAAATATTCAAAAAACTACCCATAAAGCAAACCAGGTAAAACTACATATCATAAATAGATTTTTGGGGTTCATACGAGAATAAAACCATAACATTTTTAACTAATAACCACGTAAATATTACAACACTGCACTACGAGTACTAAACATCCAGAGAGAGCAGGGAAAACTGAGAGAAAGTACAACTAAGAGCAGCTACATAGTGGGTGAAATAAAACAATTTACGAGTTGCTATTTATTATTTATTTTAATATTTTATAAGAGCAAAAGAAATAAAAATAAAAAATAAACGATAAACATTTGTGACAGTTTACTTATGAAGTAAATACAAATATAAAATATTATATAGCGATTAACAAATGCTTTAACAATATAAATTAATATAAGAAAGTTAAGAGTAATGCACAATAAGATGCGGAAAAATATAGTAAAAATGCAAAAACTACAGGATTTGGACGCTACGTAGCCAAAACCAGAAAAAAATTATAGTAAAATATAAAAAATACTTATATTTAATATTGAAATGCACCAATATTACCAGAAGAGCAGGGCTTGACTACTGTTGGGTTAAAGGATGTGGCGGATGTTTGGTTGTTGGTTGGATTATTCGGATATTTCAAAATTGCGTTCGTTTACGCTTTGCTGCGCTTCTTTTTCATTTCAAGAATTCTCTTCATAAAATTGAGTTCGCTGCACTAAAGCAGTCGGATAGTTACCTCTTTGCTGTAGGTCGGATAAAACTCCACTTGAGTTTGTATGCATTGCACAGCTTCGAGTTGAGCGACGCGTGTGGCAGTGCAGACTTTACTAGGGTGGCTGCTAGACGCACGCAAGCTTGGCTTGCCGAAAGTCATATGCGCAGAAGCATGTGATTGCTGCTCGAACTTCTGAAGGAGTTCCGATACTTTAGTAGTTTTCGTTTGCATAGAGGTCAATGCTGCATCGGAATTGTACACATTGCTGCCAGGCGACGCCGCTTGGGATGTGGAACGCTCCTCCTCAATAATATCGGATTCACACAGACTCACGCTGGAGGTGGTGGAAGTGGATAAGGTGTGAATGGTTGTATCATTCTCATTCGAAATGTGTCCTGAATCGTCTGAATCCGATTCGTTGTTACGATGTGACGCATTTGCATCGATTAACTTTTCGATGGGCGCATTTGTATGCAGCGTTAGTTTGTAAGCGTCTGATATTTCAAAAGCTTGCTGTTCTATTAACGTATTATTTGCCGCTGTCTGTTGTTGTTTCGACAGCTGTTGTGTGGCGGTTGGCGCATTCAACTTTGCCTGTACCACATTAACCAATAATTCGGTGTGCTTATCGGATGTCTCACCCAATACGGGTGGTATTATTTTGCAGAACTCCAGCTGCGGTGGCGGCACTTTCTCCTCATTCGCATATTTCAACTGTTTCGTGGAAGTAACCGGTGAAGGAGTTAGCGCGGCGGTGTTGTTGCTGGTTGTGCGGCGCAAAGTGCCATCACACGCATCTTTCGTAATTTTACCTGTCAATGCTGCACTACCGCTGGCAGCTGTTTTCACTTTCGTACGTGCGCTGGCCAACGCGGCTGTAGTTGTCGGTGTAGCAGCACGTTTCGTATGCCCGGTTGTCGACGCCTTCACCGTCGCTGCTTTGCCACCACCACTCGTCTTAAGCGTCGTCGCTATTGCTGCTTTACGCACGCCAACTTTCGTGTTTATCGATTCCACTTTGCGCAAAATTTCATGACCCTTCTCCAGGCACTTGTCCAATAGCTCGTCGCGACTACGTTGCAACTTGCGTGCCGCCGTTGTGCTACCGTTGGCGACACGCGACACACTTCCGCTACTTTGACTGCTGCTCAAGCTATTGCTGGAGGGTGTGCGCCGCGGACTCGCGTTTGTGCCAAGTGTGCTGGAGTTAAAGCCAATTGAAGATTTCGTTCTCTCCATTTGCAGGCGTGAATTGCTACGCGTCAACTTTTCTCCAGACAATGATTTGCGTTTGGTACGTTGAACAGACGTCGCTTGATGTTGCGATGGCAATTGTGTAGTTGACTGCAACGGCTGCTGTGTTCGGTTTGTGGAAAGCGAGCGCGAGCGTGATTTAACTGACAACGAAAGCGCAGATGCGGAACGGGCAACCTTAGTCAGTTGACGACGTGGGTTCGTTGGTGCAACGGTGGAATCTTTGCTTTTATGTGTCACAACAGTCTTCACAGCTGTTAAATTCTTGTTATCGATCAACTTCTGCTTGTCAATCATTTCCGTTAAGGAAGCGCTGCAAAAGCTATTACTTCGTCTTTGTAACGGTAATGCTATAAAAACCGGTATCTTGCTATTTGTCGCAGCCGCTGCCGTTGTGGGTGTTAACTCCCACACGGATTTGGAGCGTGCACGCGTGGCTAGAGCGTAACGTATATTGCGTAAAGTGGGAGTGTCAGAAGACTGATAGACATTGCGTCTAGGTAGAGCCAGGGATGACTTGGATTTCTCCAAGCGCCTGGGACGCACGGGCGGTTGTGGTGGTGTCATGGAATCTTCAGTAACTGATGCAACAACAGTGCTGCTGCAAACGCTGTTTTTCCTCATAGATGTCGCTCTCAATAAGTCGTCGCCGTTGTTCGTATTAGTGACGCTACTCTCAGCGGTAGTGTCAGTGATTTCCTCAGCGGGATATAAATCGTTGGACTTCTGCGTTCCGTTTGAATCTTGCACACTTTTGTTAATTTCAGGCTGCTTGGTAGTCTCCAACGTAATTGACGCTTCAGTTGCGTCTACGTGTGTTTTAATAAAACCAGCGGATGTTTGATTAACGTCTACATTTGGCTTAACTTCTTTCTTGTTATCAGCGAGCTCAAGTAAAACTACCTTGTCTTCTACCACATTTTCTTCACTTCGCTTCTCGCTACCATTATCGGCGAATGCGACCGGCGGCTCAAGTGCTAAGAGCTCCAGTTGCGCTGCGGCTGCCGCCTCCACAACTGCTACATCACATTCCACACATGGCCCTGTCTCTGCCACTGCGCTTTCAGCTGGTTTCTCATTGTAGTCGATTAGTAAACGATCAAAGTTCTTCAAAACCGCATTTAATTTCGTTTCATCGTGTGCGGCCTTTTCGAGCTCCTCGAAAATTTCATCTTCCAACGATTGTTTCGTTAAATTCAAGCTTAACTGCTGATATTCTTCATCGCTATCCACATAGTTAGCACCTTCAGTGGGTGATCCAGCATGCGTTCTTAGGTCCTTCGTGTGACCACCGTCCACCAAACCACCCTTTTCAAGTAGTGCTGGGCAAATTATGCCCGAATTTGTTGCAACCTCACCAATCGGCGCAGAGATTTCACGCTTACTGACCGTCTTCGTTGATTTTGTGAGGCGTTGGCGTTGATGCTTCAGCATGCCGGTGAGACGTCGATGTGCAGAAGTCGTCCCTATTTGTTGTTGTTCCGTCTTTGGAGGGAGGGTGGGTAAAGTCGATTGCTTACTGATGTTCGTATACTTGCCGCTAGTCGAGTCTACAATACTGAGCGAACTCATCGATATAGAATGCTTCTGTGATTTGTAGAGTTTGCCCGTCAAACGTGGCGCTATATTATCCTCAATTTTATGCCGGATTTTTGAACAAAACTTCTGTACGCCATGCGTTTTGTAACCGCTGCCAATTGAAGCGACGGATGATGCGTGGGAGGCGGTGGGCGAGCCAGGTTTTGGGGCTATCGCAGCCAAAGGCTTATCGATATGTGGTTTATCCATATCTTGTTCTTTAAGTGGGGTTTATGTATAAAGGTCTTAGAGTTCAAGTTATACAAAGTCGCACGATAAGAGTTCAAGCATAAGTCGCGATTATTTGCACATTATTAATTGCTTTCAGTTGCAGCTCCTTGACGTGCAGGCGCAAAACTTTTTCACTTTTACTTTTACTATTCTCTTTCACTTATTCACTTGGAAAATGTCAAGCTGGCGCCTGTCGGCTATTGACATCTGATCGGCGTATTCGTATTATCAGTGACTGACTGACACTCCTGCGCTCGTTGTGTGCATAGACATTAAAAGTATATTTGCGCTAATCAACGCTTGCGATTGTTACATCTGTAATTGTTTTTTTTTTTTCTATTTTATTTTATACTTCACTACGTTTCGTATGGATTTTTCCTTCTTTTTTATGTTGTTTTCGAGTTGAATCCGCGTCCGTTTAACCGTCGATCGTTTTCGTTCGCGTTCAGCGCGCAACTAAATTTCTTTACCGAGCCGCAGAGCTGATGAGCCACCACTAAACGAGCAACCAACCAACAACGAACATCAACAATAAATAAATAAACAGAAGCTCCAACGCAAAGACGACTGCAATTGAGTTTGTCTTCATCGTTGTTGGTAGCTAAATTGTCATTATCGTCAACGCCATCAACGCAAGTCAGTGAGTTGGTGAGTCTTCAACACTTTCCTTCTTAAGCTTGCGTACAACAGCAGCAACAAACATTCGTCACAACAAGTAGCAGCAATAAGTATGATTGTCGAACTATCGTTGCTAGTTTGGTATCGTTTTCAATGTTGCTCTCTAGTGTCTTCGCATGCCCGGCGTCGACCGTCTGTTAGCGCAAGCTCGACTTAAACATGCGCAACGCGCCGAGCCGTGCCGTTGACGATGCGTAAAAGCGTGAAATGCTTATTGGCTGTGTATAAACTGAAAATGATATGTCCGTGCTAACACTTAGACACATATAAATAAAAAAAATAATAATTTTACTTTATAAGCAACATGTTTTGCCGTTACAGCGGGGTTTGATTCGAACCTGAAGTCAGCGCTCCGGGGTTGTTGTCGCGCGAAACGAAAGTAAATGTAGGTTGCATATCTGCAGCTGATTGTGAGCTGTCAACACAGCGCATAATTATGTAGCATAACAAAGGAGGCGCATGCGACTTACTTAACCCTTGTTTAGTGCGTAATAAAAAAAGTTTGAAACTTTGCTATCTTTTTGGTTATTGCTTGCTGCCTAGGATTAAGCATCAACAATTTTTTATAAAGTGAATTCCATTAACCCTTTTTTGGCGTATATAAAACTTTTTTGCTTTTTAATAGTTTTTTTTTAATTTTTTCTGTTAATTAAAATTTTACTTAAATATTTATTATTTTTTTTAACATTTATATATCAAATAAACTACAGATATTCTTAAGATGAAAGGTCTAGAATTTTCACCACTTATAGAGTACTTGTGGTGGGTAGGAAACTATTGACAGTTATTATATTAATTAGTTCGAACTTTGACGATTGTTAGGAGCGAAAACTATCGATAAATCGATATAAGTTTTAATAACAAATATGCATATATTTGAAAATTATATAAAATAATGTCACTTTTTAAACATAAAAATATATTTATTTTTAGGACTTTTTGTGTTTCTAATAAAATAATAATATATGCATATGCATAGACATATAATAAGTATCTACATGTATGTTTAACAAAAAAAATTATCGATTTTACTATTATAGTGATTTTTTAGCTTCCCAGACCACTATTATGCTGAAAATATTTATTGGGAAACGAGCCGAAAGTTCTGATTTATTGAAATAAACAAATGCACTACACAACAATATTTTCGGCTTTTTCATGGCAGTCTTTCCTCTTTTTTGGCCCATTCTCACCCTTAGTAGTTTACTCTTTCAGAAGCTCCTTGACCTCCTTTAACGCCATGACAACAGAAGCCTCCCAAAAATTATCTTCATCAGATGCCAACGTTCGATTGAGATAAATAAATTCAGGCAAACACGAAGCAAATGTCATTGTCAATGTCTTTGACACATTTCCAATAACTCTAAATAGCGAAAATGAAAACGAATCCGCCTCAAAAATGACAACAGAGACCCAGCAAAAAGATGAGAAGAAAGAAGAAGATCAGAGCAATTTGTAGAAAACAAAAGCATTTATTAACACCAAGAAAAGTATATATGTATATATCTACATATGTACGACTTACATATTTACAACAAATCTTTGTAACAGCAAATGAAAGAAAAACTTTAGCTAATAATAAGCGACAGAAAAAGTGTCATGTCATTGCACCTTTTTCACACATTTTCTAGCCACCGATGAGATTCACACATCTACACGGTGTGCACCTCTGAATATGGCTAGTTGCATGCCGCCTATGCATAACTATGTACATGCAACAACGAGTAAGTGGCTACCACAAAGTGAAATTAAAAGCAAAAACATGCAATTAAATGCAACTCATGCGTCCATTTGGCGGCCGACAGGTGGTGGAGCGAGGTGGCGACAAGCCCACAAATCCCATCGAGGATCACACAAACGCGAAACAAACTAACAGACGTCCAAACAATAAACAATGCAAGACCTGAGTCGAGTCGAGTCAAAGCCATGTTAAGTCGTCGAGTCAAGTTGAGGCGAGTCAAGTTAAGTGGTAAATTGCTTTGTCATCACATAAAATTGCCCGATGAGATTAATGGCGCATTTGAGGTAACCACGTTGCATGGACGTTAACTGCTCACATCAACGATGGTATATTTAATACCCTGTAGGAAAATGAGAGTGCAATGAACTTATTATATATGCTTAGAATGCGTTTTAGAATATAATTAAGACGAAAGTATACTATGTATAAAATGCAAATAATTAATTTAAATTTGCTTTACTAGTATGATCCCAAAAGATTCATGCAATGGATTTTAGTCAGAAGAATAATCAATTTCAATTTAAATTTAACCTCACAAGTATACATACTAATCAGATTCTCGCAAAATAGAATAAAAAACAATTTCAATTTATTTTTAACCTCACAAAGTCTATGTTGCCAGGAAAACTCAGAAATATTCTATATCGGAAGGCCGCGGTTATCACTAAAATATCGAATTGAAGCAGCAGCAACATTGAAATGCGACAATCGAAAGACTTAAGATGTATAATCTTGCATGTAGAAACCAGCAATTCAATGAATACAAACTTTACGAGGAAATGAAATTCCACTTCACTTCCATATTTCCGACTAGGAAGTAACGCAAGCTAATTTCTACTGGGTGTACAATATATCTCTATATATTTGCACCGATTGAAGCTTCTACAAGACAAATACATATGTAAATATATAGGTAGTAACTGCTGCATCAGCAAATTGTTGCAATAGACAATGTCAGGTTGACACCGGTGTGAACTAAGCACATGTTTTTGTTTTTGTATCGATTGACACCGGTTGACTTACAGATGCTTATATTGTTAGAAACACACTTACATACATATATATTGACATCGTTAGCTGTTTTGTTTACTGAAGGTAGTTACTTGTGTTTCCTCTGTTTTTTTTTTTGTTGTTTTACTTTTGAGGGATTGTAAACAATACTGCTAATTTGTTGTTACACAAAAATAACATGTACTTAATACAGAAAGGGTTACATAAAATAAAATAGCTTTGTTAAGCCGATTTGACAAATAAACAAAGAACAAAGATTTACCCCGGTATCTTTATAATTGGACCACACTGTATATTTGCTATAACAACTTTTACGTAATCGGTTGTAGGAACAAGCAGTGAAGTTGGCCTCAGTGAAGGCAATTACGAATCGATTTAATCCCCTCTGGAAATATGCAGCATCTGGATAAAAATACTTTATGCAGCCAGAATATATTTCATGACAGCTATGGAGCGGTTTAATATTGGTAGTGTCCATTATTTGTTGTGCAACATTAGGGAATATTCTAGAAATGGGAAATAATTTTAAAAATGTAGCAAATTGCTTATATTTACCGGTTGATAGATCCATCTTTGGGTGGCAGAAACGGCAATTTTCGTCATTGGGAGTTTTAAGCCAAATCGAGCATGAATGAAATTATCAAAACGCTGAGGAACTGTCTATTACCTGATAAAATAAATGCACGACTGAAATAACCACACGTCAATAAAATGTCTTTAATCACTGATCACTGAAATCAGACTTAACGATTTGTTCCATAACTGCGATTGAACACTTCGGTATTAAATCAATATCGATGCCTAGGTAATCAGATATACTAGCGCGAGACCATCACAATATACATACGTTCCCACGACAGTCGGGTCTATGTAATCGGAACGGAGCCGGGTTTTTATCCGGTCAAGGACTATCAACTCAGCAGCATTATTTCAAATTACTTTAGGGCTGACATAACAACAGCAACCTTCACAAAATCCTACTCTGAAGTTCCCGACATCTCGTTAGGCAAGACTTTGTAATGATATATACATAAATACGATATATTCATAAAAATATTTAGCTTTGAGTTAGAAATATTTTGTAGCTGTTTTTGCTGATCTGACGTCGACTTCTATTTTATCTATTTGTCCTAGTTCAAAACAAATATCGAATCTGCACTTTCTGCAGCCGTTTAAGAGCGCCCAAAGCATGCATGTACTGATTTTTCCCCTTTACATGTACATATTGTATGCATGAACATCTGTATGTGAGCAGGTCAGCCAACCTACCAAGAGTGAGCCCATAGCTAATTATTATCATTGGTACGAGCATACTTAAAAGTATCGTGTTGCAGTGGGCAGCTATGCAAGTCATCGGCAATTTCATGCCGCCGGCTAGAGTAGCTCGAAAAAAGCGTTTGACAATTACAAGAGTTGACCAGGTGTAACCGCTGGTACAGAAGTGCTTATTTATGTAACAACAACAACAAACAGAACAAAAGTTACATTATGCACATAAAGTGGCATTTAATGAAGGTTGCGTATACGTCACGGTGAACTTTTGATGTGACACCTTCAACCAAGCGAATTGTTTAAATGCCAGCATGCATTAAAATACAAAAACAACAACAGCAACCTTTTAAGCGTGTTAAAAGCGCAGGCTTACATACTCGTACACAAAAAATAAAAAGTTGTGAAAAGATAATTAATATCAGCGCTGCTGTCTTGGCTGAAAGTACATTTTAACATCCATTGTATTACATATGCGCATAGGGTCAGACCCACATGCCACACAATGTGGCATCAGTAATTTTTAGAAATTCCAAAAAAAAAGTAGGGGCCCTATTGTGAAATACTACAGTATTTTATATTGAAATTTTGCGTTTTCGAAAAATTTTATGCTGGCGTCAATTAGAGGTAATCACAAAAACTTTAACTTCGGCTGCACCGCAGCTATATTAGCCTCACAGGTGCATTGCTTATAGCATAAATGGGAATCTTGATTTTGATCGGTCAGTTTGTATTGCAGCTATAGTGATTCGAACTGAATAACTTATTCGGAAATTGTAGCATTGCCTCGGACAATTATCTATGCTAAATTTTATGAGGATATCTTGTCAAATAAAAAAGTTTTCCAAATAAGAACTTGATTTTGAAAGAAGAGTTTTAATGACAGCTATGTATGTATATCCTATGAATAAACGATATTGGTAGTTCCGACAAATGAGTAGCTTCTTGGTGAAAAAAGGAAGGCAAAATTTTAGATCGATATCT